GAAAAATGCGCGCGGACGAAATGACGCACGAAAGGTTTGGGGGGCCTCCCCCTAGAACATTTAGATTTTAGCAGGTCTTAGATGCTGACTGGTGCATTCTCTAGACAGAATTATAAAATGAACCACCACAATATTAAAATTTCAATTGTATTCTTCATTTCACTTGTTTGTGTTTGCTCGCTTGCATGCCCTGCATAGCTATAATAAATACTTAAGTTGTTGGTCAAGACACTTTCCTTCTGATGAAGGCAAATGCCTTCCCAGATGTAAAAAAGTAGAAAACATTACATGCAGTTATAACTGCCAAAACAAACATTATTTACGCTATTATGGCCCCTTTTAAAAATGTTTGTAATGTTATCCACTGTAACTTGGTCGAAGGAATGCCTCCTCATCCAGAAGCTGACCGAGCAGCCGAGTGCACCCGCGAAGCACACACAATGGCGACGTCAGAGTTCCCGTTAGCAAGCAAATCTAAATCTCAAAATGTCCGGTCAAAATAATTTCCCTTTAGCGCAATACCGCTTCAGTTGCGCCACTTATGTGACAGACAAGAAGAGTATGTGACAGACAAGAGTAGTCAATTCTAATGTGTAACATGTGGAGAAAGAGATGTGCTGTATGGGTTGATTGTGCGTTGATCTGTTGCTAATGCCTCGGGGTTCCGGTGGGCATGTAAACAAATGCATAATGCTGCGCTATACTTTGTGGCCTCACCCAGTTGCATAGCGACACTTATTGTTTAGGTCATGGTGTCTTTTAATAAGCAGGTAGTCATATAATTAGCTAGAACTAGCTGGATCTGATCGATATGGACATAAACGCGAGTGAAGTCTAATCTGACGGGAGAGAGAGATCAGCTGCTGCTGACGAGTCGACACGCAGCTCTGCATGATCACATGCAGCGGTGAGCGGAACAAAACACACACTTCAGGTTAGAATATCACACGTAGCTATTTTAATTACCTCTCAAACTACCTAAACTAGTTATAGATATGTTTAGTTTTACTGTCGGGTCACTCATTACTGGATCCGCGAGCTGCATGATACTGGTATAATAGATTGCCCGATCGGGCAACCAGCAGGTGAGGCTTCATGGCCCGAGCTAAATACTAGATGGCCCCGGGCCATCGGGCAGTCCTTAATGTCGAGCCCTGTTATATCATAACTTCTTTTTTTTTAACATATGTAACATTAAGCTGTCTGTGGCTCTTTCCTGCTGTAACGATGCAAATATCCCCTCTGTGGGACTAATAAAGGTATTCTGATTCTGATAGGCAAACTTTTTAGGAGCCAAAGAGCCAGATATTCGAAGAATTGAAGAGATGTTGGAGACCGGATTTAGAGCTGAAACACAGTTCTTATGAGACTTAGATTTGTCAGATCGACATAGCCTACGTTATACTTTGGCATGTGATATTAAGCAACAGCGTGCAAACACCATTGCTGTTGTGTTAACAGGTTTAATCTGCTGCTAAATTGTGGCCAAAAAAAATAATAAATGACTATTTAACCCGTCTGTTGGCTTGTCTGCAATCTGCTAGGAGAGCTGACCACAACGTGTTATTGTAATGATGTTGTCCATTTAACAATTCTCAGCAATTACTTTAATATTGGTTTTTTTAACGATAGGAACAAAAGCCAACTATGCAACCCCAAAAGCCCCAGGTTTAATCAACCGTGTATACAGTATAGGGTTGAAACATACATACACTGTGGCTGCTGTTTTGTTTTTGCTCCTAAAAGTAAAACAAAACAGCAGGTAAAAGTACCTTTGTTCAAGAACACTGCTGGAAACAATATATAAAAGGGAATGTCTACACAGTGACGCCATTGCCCAGACCAATTATCTTCCAGCTATAATGGCTGCTCTCTGTATTCTCTAGGCCAGTCATTCTTTCGTGGTAAAGACGGATTCTGCTTGCAAAGCAATCACTGCAGCTACAGTGGGTTTGGCCTCTCACAGTTAGTGTGTGGTCAGTTCACTCCACTAAAGCCCATTATTCTTCTGCTCAGAGGCCAGAGTAGACAGAAGTGTATCCCCTCCAGGTCTGAGCCCAGCTACATCTCCGAACCTCTTCAGTACCGTTTGCCACAATATTGGGAAAGTGGTCATCCTTTCCTTGTCCACAAAGTCATGTTCAGTAGCGCTTTGATTCACCTCCCGCTGTTTCCAAGTCCTGTTATAATTATCAACTGTTGGTATGCCTTGTTGCTGTTTTTTCTCACTTCAGCACTGCTTCTTAGAATCATAAACGTCTTTGTGAGATGGACTCCGTATTTACTAAGGCAGCCTGGTGAGATCAGAAGGACGTTGCCTGTGTGTGTATTTTGAAGTGGGCCGGCTCCTCCTGTGGCCTCCTTGGTGTCCTGCCGTGACTTGGCTCTGTTTGAATCCACTGCGGTCATCGGAGAGCTGCTCATTAATCTTACCAACACTCTGTCCCACTTCCCTCCATAATCTTCCTCCTCCTAATTTCCCTTATCGGTCACACTGACTTTCTTTTGTTTGTGTTTGGAAGGCTTACTCTAGGCTGTTAGCCAGAGGGTGCAGACAGAGTACAGAGCGGACTGCGGTAGCTTCCCTCCATCAGTCATGAAGCCAGGGATGGTTTATCATCCCAGGTTTTGGGTTTTGTCTGCCAGCAACCGCTCATTCATTTGCAAGGGGATGGATTGTGCTGAGAGTATTGATGGTGGGGCTAATGCTTTTAAGTGTGAGATTACACCACATTTAATAATGATGTTACTTATTGCTGCTGGCACTGCAAACCCTCATTTGTCATGCGGTCTGTCCCGGTGTTTTCTCAGTTCAAAACGCCCCCCTCCCCACTGCTTATTTTATCTGATTCAGCCTAATCTTTTTACTGTGCTATGTTGTGGTGGTGCAGGGTAAACATCACAACGTCAGGTCAGCAGGGGCACCGCCAGTGATTTTGGGCCCCATGAAAAGATATCACACTTAAACATTTTTTTCTTAATGTTCTAAAATAGTTTGGGCCCCTGTCAGTCACGGGCCCTTAGAATCGTCCTAACTTTTCACCCCCTTACGGCGCCCCTGCAGGTCAGTCTATTTCATCAGCACCCAAGATGACTTTGAAAGTGTCAAAGGCAGTCATGAGGTGTCTGGGGGCAATCAATGATGCGCTGTTAAAGCCCCAGTCCTCAAAATGTAACATCAACAAGAGAAGTCAGTCAATCAGTAAAGGGAATCTGGGAAAACGTATGTGTTATATCAGAGCTATCCTTTTCAAAGAAACTTGAGAATACATAAAAACTTTCTACACTGTAGACTCTCTGTCTGTCTGACACCCTGCTTTTTTCTCGGCTGCAGCCTAATTTTGATTTTATGTGACTCATCAGATCTTGACAACTTCAAAACTCTAACAGTGAGGAACGCTGTGAACGTCCGCGAGGGCCAAGGAGTCGTTCTGTTATGTGGACCTCCTACATATTCTGGAGGTAAGTTGTTTTCTCTCTGTATGCAGCTTTTGTGCCCTTTCATCCTTAATCATGATTCATGAAATATATAATTCCCTTCATCGTTTCACATGGCAACCTTTGATCAGGGATTACTTCCTCACTCCAAACTAAATCTGTTTTAACACCCATTATAAGTACACATGCTGCCTATAATCTCCCCCTTATATAAGGTATACTGAACTACTGTGCAAATCCTTTCGTGGGTGTTTCTTTATCCTGTATATGTTTCTCATTAGAGCAGTGTGTTTCCAAATTAGTCTTCATATGTGCTTATTGAGTTGGCTGTGAGTTAGATGAGAAGATATCTATTTCAGATCTATCCGTTAAATATCAAGCTACGGCCAGCAGCCAGTTAGCTTAGCTTAGCGTAGGCTGTCAATATCTGCATACCAGTGTGTACTTCCATTTTAAAACAAGATATTTATAGTTATCTCTAAAGTTACGTGAACAACCTTATACCTATAGTCGAGATTAGCAACCTTCAGACAGAGCCCGGTAAACTGTTTCTGTAATTAGGAAGCTAAAGGCAGCAATGGGTTAGCTTAGCGTAGACTGACAATATCTGCATACCATTGTGTGTACTACTTCCAGTTGAATAAGAGTGATTTTAAAATGATATATTTATAGTCTTTAAAGTTACACAAACAGCCTTTTCAAAGTAGAACTTGTTATTTTACATTTCGTTTTATTGTGTCGAGGAGCTATAGGCGAGCTTAGCAACCTTCAGACAGAGTCCAGCTGGCTGTTTGTTGTTATGTGAAGCAAACCAGCTGCTGGCTGTATCCATATATTTAAGCACCTCAACACATTCCAAAAATGTTCTTATTGTTCAACTGAGAAGCTCAAAATGCATTCTTTAAATAAGAGGGCTGAATAGGAGATAAGGACGCAGAGTAGGTATGGACAATGGCTGCTGCCTAGCTTGTCTCCCTCTTGATACTGTAGCTTGCATATTGAAACAACCAATTCCTTCACAAGAGAACAGTTTAGCACAGAGCATTGTACTGTATAGCTGGTCTATGGGATAATGGGTCAGAGGACTCGGTGTGAAATACACTTTGACAGCTTTCCTCTGACATGGGCTTATATGCGGTTGGCTGCTGTAACCGTAGCACTATTGTGTTCTTACATTTTCAGAAGTGAATGAAAAGTAGTGCAGTGCGAGCCCTTCTTCCTTCTCTCGCCCCGTCACTCCCCCTCTGGGCTTCCTCTCCCTCTCTTCCCATTCTCTGCACTTTTTCTCTCTTGTAAATTGAAGGCATGCATTTTTCTTCATAACCTTGAACTTCACTGTACCTTATCCAACACCTCTTTAAAAAGAATCAAATCAAGTTTTATTTATATAGCACATTTAAAAGCAATTTTTGGTTGAGCCAAAGTGCTGTACATGTAATAAAAACACATTACTACAATCACAATAAAAGACAATAATTTACAACAGAAATATAAAAAACAAAAACACAGGGAATAGTCAGGTGTCATACTCCGCTCTGACTAGAAGGCCAGAGAGAAAAAGTGTGTTTTTAGCATAGACTGCATATATAAAGGTTTTTAGTGAGGATTTAAAAACCCCTAGTGTCTGGGCCGACCTCACATGGAGGGGCAGACTATTCCAGAGCCTGGGGCCAGCTGCTGCGAAGGCTCGGTGACCTCTGGTTTTGAGCCTGGTCTTGGGCACTACCAGCAGCAGCTGGTCAGCAGACCTTAAAGCTCTGGCGATGGAAGAGAGGCCGGAGCCAGCCCATTTAGGGCTTTGAAAACAAAGAAAAATATTTTAAAATCAATTCGGAACCGAATTGGAAGCCAGTGTAGTGAGGCCAGAATTGGGGTGATGTGGTCACCCTTTTTGTGGCCAGTCAGAAGACGTACAGCTGCGTTCTGCACTAGCTGCAGGCGTTTAATTGAGGCCTGATCCATACCCACATACAGAGCGTTGCAATAGTCCAGTCTTGAGGCTACAAAGGCGTTAATAACCCTTTCTATCACTTCTGGTTTCTCATTTTGTTGACTCAGAATAGCTTGTTTCCCCCTCCGCATTCATTATGACATCACCCCCAACTGCTAAATTAAATACAATATTGTCACAAGCAATTGGGTCCCCTTAGTGCTTTTCAGATTTTGTTTACTCCAAGGTCTTTTTAAGCAAATGGGTCACTTTTTTTCTTCTGTTGCAGAAAAAAACCCTGTGTCGCGTTTTCTTTTGACTTATTGCTTACACTTCTATCACTGCTCATTACAGCCGCGTAGTTCAGATGGAGGTTATGCTGACTCCTAAATGTGTGGGTCCTGCTTGCCTAATCAGAAGGAGCTTTGTATCTGCATCACTGCTCCCAGCTCGGACGCTCCATCCCATCCGAAGCCGTCCCTGGGGGGGGGCGTTGGAAATGATTGACAGTCATTGCATTCACCTTTGATCCGGAGCCCCTCACCTCCCGTGTGGTAGATTACACTGAGCATCTCCTGGCTCTTGCAGATCTGTGCAGTGTGCGTTTTTCAAAATGACACAGTAATTCATCATGGCAGGTTTGTCTTTTCTTATGGTGGACCTGCAGCTTGTGAAGGCGCATCACAGCATGTTCGTAATTCCATACGTCAATCCTTTCAACCCTCAATCCATCCGTCTATTCGTTTGTGCCTCCCATGAACCAGACCATGTCACTCAGAGACTCGGGGAATGCAGGCCATGTGTCAGGGGAGGGCCACTGACGCGCTGTAATCCATTTTGTTTCGCTTCCTTTCCTTGGGTCTCACATTGCCTCTGCACCAATAGATATTGCATTTGCCATGCCTTGGTATCTCTTCCCAAGAAAACTGAGATAAGGGTAAAACATTTTAGTGATATGCTAACATTTTTAGGCCAAACTTTATGGGCTCAGAACAGTCTCATAATGCACACAGAAGGATTCAAACTTGTAATTCATGATCCACAAAAGGATTCACACTTGTATTTCCGGATCCACACTTGTGTTTTTCAATGCACACACAAATGTGTTCCGTTTCATATACATGTAAATAAAATCCAAACACAGAAAAAAGTGTTACATATGTATTTTTGATCCTCACATATTTGTTTTCCGTTTAAATCCTCTGAACCTGCAAACATAAACCGCTTTCTGTGCACGGATCGCTGTGCATTCGTGTGTGGGTTTTTTGAGACTCCCCTGACGCTCACCCGATTCGTACTTGTAATTTTTTCTATCTATAGCCAATCAGATGTCTCCTTCATTCTAAGCCAATCACATGAGCGCGCCCCCACGAGGGTATGATTTATTGCGTCATGTATTCAAAAATCATACCTGACGCTTGAAGCTGCAGTTGCTGACTTAATTAAAACATATTTTCTGAATCTCATGGACTACCGTAATATACTGAGGATTCGTGCTATTAGTATGGCTAAGACTATTCTTTTAAGACAACACGTATTTTCATTTTAAGTAAAAATGTATGCACATCCAACAGTAGATATTAAGTCAATAAATGCTGACGTTACACTACGACTTATTTTTAAACAATGTGTGGGTTCGACAAATGCTTTGCCTCTAACTGCCGTTTTTAAACAGTTTGAACTAGTAGTTGTTTTAAACGGTATATTTTCTGGACTATAATGGAAAAAGTGTGATACTGCATCTTTAAAATGACACTTCAATAATCCCAATGAGAGCAATTATTCTTAAATTATAGCAGCAAACAGCAGCTACAAGGGAGCAGAGCAAGTCTGGTTAAAGAACCAAAGTCCCAATACTGAGGTCCGTTTGGAAGTTAGATACAGGGACCTTGTTGCTTCACACTAAAATGTAATCTAGTTCCAATAAAACTGAAATACATCAAACAAGAATCAGCCTCTCACCTTGCAGTTCGGCTGTCTGTCTCTGACAGCTTGGCTTGCATCAAACACAAACCTGTTGAGCAAAAGATAAAAATGAATATACATTAGTGTGACATTCAAATATCGCACAGATCGGAAACCTTGCAAACGAAGAGTTAAAGTGTTACCTGGGAAGACAAAGATGAAGCAGGCAGCCAATCCCCCGATCAGAGAGATCACCCGACCAATATCCGGGATGAAGAGTGCGAGGGTGAGGGTGATGGTGAACCACACCAGCGTCTGCAGGATCCTCCGCCTCTGCTCGCGACGCACACACAACTCCACCTGCTCACCTTGGAAACGCAGCCAAAGCCCCTCAATGACGGCCCTGAGAGGACACATTATCACAGAGCGGTGGGGAGATGATGCATTAACTGCAGCGTAATGATCTGACACCAGGTACAAGGCTCTCTATGAAATCTGTCCATCTGACTGTATGCAGCCGATCCCGATCACTCTGGCATGTTTAGGGTAACATCAAGCTGTAGTTATTATTCTTTTATCTATCAACTTTCCACTTTCACTTCACTACACACACTGCAAATGTAGAGTATTACAATCTTTGCTTCAGTCAGTTACTTTCAGGATTCAGATAAATACAAAATATTAAATTGAATTCCAATTGCAACATGAAAGGTACAGTATGTGCCAGCCTATCTAATGCATTAAGAAGTATAATCAGCATGAGGAGTACTTTTACTTTTCGTACGTTTAGTATGTCATACTTTGTTATTTTACACAGTAGAAAAAAGCTACACATTTGAATAACAACTTGTCATTTTACAATCCTAACACAATCTAAGCCAAAGTGACTGACAGTATGCTGGATATTTCTAGATGAGCTGGTTCTTACCTGCCACAGAAGTGTAAAATGGGGTAGGAGGTGATGACACAGATGACTATAAAAGCTCTTGCGATGGCCACTGCAATATCGTCTGAAGGATACGACATCAACACATCCTGATTGACGTTAGAGCCAAACGTCAGGAAGCCACAGACACCTGAACAAACACAACAAGAGGTTATTAAATACCGACATACTGACCGACTTTAAAAGACATTAAGACTCTATAATCCATGTGACAACAAAACAAATAAATGATCCGTCTATTTCAAAGTAGGATTTTTTAAAAAAAAGGCATTTCATTGTACGGTAATAAATAATTTACTTTGACTATATAATATAATCAGATAACATCATTGCAATACATTTTCGAGTAATAATTGCACACATTGACAGTACCTGTTCCTGTGTAGACGAAGAGGCAGATGATCATGCTAAAAGTGACCACGACTCCCCACGGTTTGATCGCCTTCTTGCTCATGCTGTTGAACACCGGCACACAGCTGACGTGGCACTGAAGAGAGAGAGCAGGATGATTAAGATGATACCAAAATAACTCAACATTTTCAGACTCTCTTTGAAAGACAGGCATTTAGTTCTAGGATTTAAAATGAAAGCAAATTAAGGTATACCTGGAAGCCAAAGCATATGGTGGGCATTGCATTGAAAACTGCAGTCCAGGAAGAAGAACTGTAACAAACACAACAATTTAGCAACTCAAGCAAAGCATGAAGACGAGGATGAAGATGTTACTTGCTGGACAGTGGTAAAACGATTAGTAAAAAGTTCTGAAAGAGCCGTTAGCTGCATAGAATTAGCGCAGCGGGATGAAGTGTGTGTAGCGCTCACCTGGTAGGAACGTAGACTGGGATCGCTGCTTTATCCGGCCAGATATACTTGATGATGACCACGATGGTCACATACCAGGTCCCCATCACACTGAGCGCACTACGATGCAGAGCAACAACTCAGACATGATTATGGTGCAGGGTAAAGGGGAGAAAACATTATCTCTAATCCTTGGTGAGAAAACAAGAGAGACAACGTTTTGTACCTGGCATACTTCTGGAAGCCAATCTCTTTGGGGATGGAGAGAGGGAGAATAATGAGGACTGCAGTAACAGAGATGGTGAATTTACGATCAGTGTACCAGGCGCTGCTGACTGAGCCATCTTTGTCATGAACCACTGCAGCCACCACTGCAACAGAAACAGGACGTATGTTAAACTTGAGAAAGACAGACGGAAACAGGAAGCAAATGCTGGATCACAGTGCAGGTCTACTGTACGCAATCAGAGTGGCAACACAATTTGCTCCCATTCATTGTGTATGGGGGGCGACTGATTGCTTCACAAGGCATGCTGGGATACCTGCATTTAGGACAAGCTGGCGAGATGGCGTTACAATTTCAAAAATTCAAACAGGGCCTCATGAAGACAGCAAAACAAGTTACAGAAGCGGAGACTTTCTTTACAGTGGATCTTAGCACAGCAAACTCCCTTGAAATGTTTAAAAGCAAATTAAAAGCCTTTCTTTTTAATATGGCTTTTAATTTGGATTAACTTTCAATTGTCACTATTTTTTCTGTTTTGCTTTTATTTGACATTTTTTGTTTAATTTTTTGAAAGGTTTATTTTAACATATTATCAATGAAGATGTTTTATCTTGTTCTGTATTCATTTTAATAGTATTTTAATATTCTTGTTACGGTTTTCTGTTTCTTTGTGCATGAAAGGTGCTATAGAAATAAAGTTTATTATTATTATTATTATTATTATTATTATTATTACAGCTCTACAACCAGGAACGTAAAGACAGTCTACTGATAATTGTAACGTCATTTATCAATATAAACATATATTTTTCTCAGTGTTTGTTTTCATTACAATGATAATGATGAGCTGAATTCAGAGCAGGCTCAGTCAACTGCATTCTATCTACTCCTTGAATTGTTTGCATACGCATACGCTGCACTGTTAGAGCAATGAGTGCCTCGTGGATTTAAATGTTAACTGCAGTGCACGTGGCAAACATTTAGCCAAGTGGATAATTAAAGTCACAACCACTCCATTAATACATGGAAAAAGAGGGGGAAGGTCACAGGTTTTTCCAGAAACAGGCAGAAGTAGGATTTATTTACTGTCAGCGTCTTAGTACAAGGAAGTCTGTCACATTTTCTGAGAGGAAAAAGCTGACTGGTGTCATCCTTGATGCTCTTTGCCCTTATCAATGATGGCACAGATTCACACTACTACTACTCCACAATTATCTTTCTTTTTTTAAGCACAGAGGTCAGCTAAAAGTAGGACAAAGTGCATGCGACTGTAAGAACATCATTACATTAAGAAAAGGCTCAGAGAAATTGCATTTTTTAACCGTTAGAGGTTAAAGATCAAAGATGGTCTGACCGGTCTGATAAAATGAGACATGAATATGGTGGCAGTGATTCAGTTATCAGTGTAGTTATACTTACAGCGATCCAGCTGGTCTCCAATGACAATAAAGAAAGCAATACAGGTCCCAAAGGTGTAGATTGCAATGGCTACTTCACATAAGATCCCTGTGAATTTCCCACAAGTGGCTCGGACAACCTCCTGATAAGTGCTTTCGTTGCTTACCTGAAGACAACAGACACATCTTTAGAAAGTGGAGTCAGCAGTAAATGCATAGCTTGAGATGATGGTGCAGTAATAGTCTAAAAATACCCATTTGGATAAAGCGAGGCCTTGAGGGGATACCCTTGCTGAGCCAACAATGTTTTAGGCAGGCTGGGGATTTAATGCAATGATGAGTCAATAAAATATTCCCAAGCACTGTTTAAACGCAACCAGTATCATTCAAAACTCTGACATTGAGATACTTATACATGTGCCCACGTTAGCTTTGTCTTATTTTTCTTTGATTCTCTCCTAATTAATACATTTGCAACACAGCGTGACAAGTTTGAAGCAAATCTAAATATAAAAAGGGATAACAGTTACTGGGGTATTTGTCCTCCGGCGTTTTCCCTTTATATGATATTCCCAGAAGATACCTACAACTTAGCCTGCAGCAGGAGCCTCACAGCTGACTTTAACAACCTTCAGTTTAAGGCATGGTTATAAAGAAGGTTTCAGGCTGCTGAGTACAGTCACCCATACTCATGACATCAGCAATTGTAATGGTGGCACGTGCTTTAAAACAAAGTTCACTGTGCTGCTGAATGTACTGGTTTTTTGTATTTTAGAGCAAAACTCAGCAGGAGTATCTTGGTCAGACTTTGTTTAACTGACAAAATCTCCTTTGCTTTTTAACATGTCAGCAAAAATCTGAACCAACAGGAAGTGAAAGCCTGGGATGTTGTGCAATGCACTTCCTATGATCAGGAATACTATCGCAGAACAGAATTATTACACAAGGCTACTATAGAAGAAAATGTGAATGAAAAGTATTCATATTAACAATGGTTTAAAATGAAAGTAAGACAAGTGGCAGAGTGAGAATTGTAAATACATCTGAAAGTATTGAGGGACACGTACCTGGCAGCAGTATCCCAGGATCACCAATCCACTGATTATGAAGATCAGCATAAACTGAAACAAGAAACAGGAAGGAAAACGTTTTAGTTCCCATTTTTATTTCCTATAGGAGGCAATTTTACATTGGACACAAGAACACAAAAAAGGACATTCAGTCTGAGTCAGCAGTTATTAACCCTAATTGGGTTTCAAACTAGTTTTTAAATGCTGTGTGCCAGCACTAGAGCTGCAACAATAGGTCGACTAATCGATTAATCCATGGGTCTTTAACGGCGGGTCCGTAATTTTCTGCCAAGGGACAGCCAAATCATTTCAATTTATAATTGATCTCTTAAAAAAAAGCATTAAAGTAACAGAAATTCAACATTTCGATTTCATTAATGCAATTAAGTGTGCTCGCTGGCCTATGTCAAAATACTGTGTGACAACTATCCATTGGAAAATTTATGGCTTTTTATTATTCTTGAATAGCTTAGTATTGTATCATTATACATGTGACTGTTGTTAAAGGCCAAGTTATATGAAATGTAATTGTATACAAATGTTGTAGGGGGTCCCTGCTCTGTCTGTCTTTCAGTTAAGGGGTTCTTTTACCTGAAAACCTTGAAGGCCCCTGGGTCAGAGAGACGAGGAAGTCTAGATAAATACCAATAACTGTAATAACATAGATATTTTTTTAGTCTCACTCGGCACAGAAATGTAATGTCTGATTAGTCATTGTTCAACAGAATTATAGGTTGCCTTAGTAAAAGGTAACCACAGCATTACACTCGTCACTGGGATCTCCTCACCATTTGGAGCATAACTCCTGCAGTCACTCCTCCTGCCATATTGAAGGCTGCGGGGAAATTTAGTAGACCTGCTCCCAGTGCTGCGTTCACTACGATGAAGATCGCTGCCCAGGACGACACGCCGCCGCCGCCCCCCCGGCTCTCCGTCTCAAGATGCCGGACCGATTCCACGCTGGGGCTCTGCAGGAGCCAGGCTCGCTCTCCAGAGTCATTGCTCCCAACCCCGGCCCAATCCTCAACGTCTGTGTTGATCGCCATGAGTTACCAGGCTGTAGCTCGACCTGCCGAGCCTCACACTGCTGTCTCCACCTATCTCGATCCCAGTGAGGAAATGTTGATGACTGATATCTGAAGTCCCACCACAGTCAGGAGGCAGCTGATGTTTCTCAACTCTTTCACCAGTATCAGTATGATGATGGAACCATTTAGCTATCTGTAATGAGATAGAATTGCATTTAGAGATACTGGCATTAGCAAAAAAGGAACTGTTATCATATCAACATTTAGGTCAATGTAAACAAGTATTTAATCTATTTACTGTTTTAAGTTACTGTGAATAAATCCAAGCAGCACTTGTTCTCTGTATTTTTGGAAGAAACATCAGTTCCCAAGCAAGTTATCTGTTTTCCTCATTGGTGAAAAACTGTAGGCTATTTCATAATAGTTCTAAATAGTTGCCTGTAACGTATTTGGTTTACAAGACACGTGCATACAATTGGCCAACGCTATCTTTGGTTCCATCCCTTTGGAGCTTTTCACCACTACTGCTAAGTTTTGATGAGCCATTTCCTAAACCTTATCTCCTGCTAACAAACAAGGAAGTACTTGGAGGTGACCTAATGCAGAACATCTTACTGTGTGAGGAATGCAAACCTTCAGTCAATAAAGAGCATGGTAGCTTTCCAGTAACAGTAACATCATCTGACCACTGCACACCAGGTACTGACACAGGTCAAGCCACTAAACCAATAGTTACCATTAATGTAGGCTGTCAATGCTGATATAAAGCATTGTTGTAGTTTAACAAATATAACAAAGCTTTTCATAAAATGAGATAAAACTAGATACAAGTGGTTTACTTTACAAGTTGTTTTAGTTTTGCAGACTCTGACACATAACATTGAAACCATTGCTTACTCAAGTAAAAATGGTAGGTACTTTTCCTTTACTGTAGTATTTAAATATGTAAACTACATCTCAGATTAAGTTATATTTTAACTTTAACGCATTCATTTGATAACTTAAATTCCGTGTTACTTTAAGGATCAGAAAAAATATGTATCACAAAAAATATATATAAAAATGTATATCACAAGCTGCACAACAGAAAGTAAAGTCATTCAAAACACCTTAAGAGCTGTAAAACATCTGAATACTTCCTTCACATTTGACTGTATTGAGTGAAATATCCTGCGATCATACATCTCAAATACAACCATGTTGAAGAATGAAGGCTGGATCTCACATTACATCCCTCAACAACTAAAGCTACATTGTACATAAACTGCTATTAGAAACTAATTGTTAATGAAACTAACATTAAACAAGAGAGGCTGCAGATGATGTCCAGCTGACCTTAATTCAATTTACTGCTAACTTAGCTTCTCCTTCAGCAACCCAAACAAAAATCTGGTCAAACACCACACCTTTTAATGTGATTAGATTATGCTTTTCTTTTCAATAAGGTAACAATAACATCTGTCAACGCAGTCAACACCTTTGTTATTCATGTACCACAATAGCTAGCTAACGTTTCACATAGCTGACTAAAACAACAAATGTAAGTAATTTTTTCATCAAACAGTTCTACACATTTAAACATCCATATATCATTTACAATCGCTGTTATTCCTCAGCTGTTTAGTAAAGTGTAGAAGTTAAAAAACTGAAAATAAGGAACAGTACCTTGTGTGTGGAGCAGCCTCCCGGTGACTGAGCGTCTGACTGTTTTGCTGCCCGTAGAATGCAGAGGAACACGTGACACCGCATCACGTGACTGGAATCGTGGGGCGTGACGTTTAGAATTGTGGGTATTGTAGTTCTCTTTGACTTATTTTCCATTTAAAGTGTAATCTTTTTATGAATATCACATTTCATTTGGAGTTTTAACATAATTGGTTAATTAAATGCTAACTAACCCATACACACACAATACACACATTTTATCAGTGACTTGTGGGATAAAGCTAGATGAATCACATTGTTAAAGCCTATCAAACATAGTTTTTCCCTATTCTTTAGCCATTAAAGACATCTAAATTATATCCTATAAATCCTATAGCATCTAATCTAAACATTAAAATACAATAAATATAAAATGTTATGTGGGATACCCATTTTTAGTATAAGCATAGTTCTAAACGCCACAAATATGCAGGGTCGCAATAAGATTACAGTGAAAGTCTTGATGAAAAATGTGTAATAATTTGTAAGTAAACATCACGTATTTTTCTGTTTTAAAAGACATAAGAATAACGTGTCAAAGTTTAAGGGGCCTACAGTTCAATATCAGAGGAACCTTAGTACTCCACTGTAATCAATAAATAATCTTTCGAACACCTTACAGTGACAAACAAGGGGACGAAAACTATCAACAACACATTCTTATTACACAGGACATTGTTAAGATAGGAGATATGTGTGGATACCTAGTACGGTGTATGTGTTGAATATGTAAACCCATCAACTGAGATGAGCAAGATGTTATATTTTTTTTAAAGTCACACATTAGGACAGATCACTTCTCTATAACCATTTATTGTTTGTTCAATAAGGTACATGTCCAGTGATCCATTATATTCTGACAGAATGCAAAACATTGATGAACAAGATGAACAGATTCATACACTGTACACCATAATGTCTGACTGAATGAGCAGCATGAACATATTTCTTTACCCCACTCATCTTTTATTAACAACACAGACATTTGTGTCAAATACAAAGCCTCCATGATTGAAATTAAAACTGGCCTGTGTGCTTGTTTTTTATTTAAGGGGTTGAAAAAGGACTGACTGAGAAACTGTTGTTACCACCAACTATTGAAACCAAAATAAAAATTGACAAAACCCTCTGGAAAAGTACCGATTACAAGGGAGATGGTAAGGAAAATTCCAAAGACAGATAATGAGGACATTACTGGATGATTGATTAGTTCAGATGGACCATTAGAGATCAGCCTAATCTGGAAACGCAAACAGTGCCTTACAACTTATAAAGTGCTAAAATGCCACTATTAGAATTAAGACAAAACAAAGAAAGAAGAAAAATTTGCATATTCTACAGGCTTTCACATAGAAACAGAGACCTCAATAGTGCTAACATTACCCCGATTCTGGATGTTTTATTGTGAGTGGGCCAAAAGCAGATGAGCGGCACACAAAGAGGAGGACACTAATGCATAGCCAAGAGTTGATTCCAGATAATAAATAAGCAAAGATGATTCGTCAGGGGGAAAACATGTCAGTTACAATTTAGCAGGGGAGCCAGTTTAGTGAAATGTAAACCATCAACACAAAAATCGAAATGCATTCGACATCAGTTTCCAAGTTAAACTCATGATGAAATCCGATCAAGAAAATGCCTAACTAAACATAGTGCTCTTTTCGAAAAGGTGGAATGGAGGAGACAGAGAATAAGTGAAGCATTAAGCCCCTCGATCACACTGCTGCTTTGATTTCATAGCTCTGCCAGCAGGATCCACTCTACTTGGTGACGGCATGGATCCCCTGAGCCAGGTAGCCCACGTTCCCAGAGGTCACGCCTGCCATGGAGATTCGGCCATCCTTGGTCATGTACACGGAAAACTCCTTCGTCAGGCGCTCAACCTGCGGGACAAATAAATGGACACACTCAACTCAAAATCCACATGCCGGTAATTTAGCATCAAATATCCCCACTACACTTTGTCCTTTCATTTTATAGATGTCTGATCGACCTTTAAAAAAGGTACTGGAGTGAAAGTAGATCTGAACAGAATAGCAGGCACACATTTAAACAAATTCATAAGATTGAAGTCATAAATCGTTTTTGCGTAGTTATGGTATTTATATGGTATTAAGATATTTTTAAATGTATGACCTAGTAGGGGCAAGTAGAGGTTGAACAGAAGAAATACTCTTTGCATTTTTGTATGCCAGGGTGATTAATTATCGCTGGACACAAAGTAGTCCCTGTCCATTAAATTGAATTTTAACAAGTTGAACACGGCGCGAGATATTAATATGTTGTGGGTGCTCGTGTAATTTGTGATCCAAATATACCAAAACTGAAACTGTTCCAATGTCTGTGTTTAAAGGGCATGTCATTTAAGACCTTAAAGTAACACTCAGACATCAAACATCCAAACTATTGTTGAGGGCCTAGAAGTTATTTTTAGCCGTTAGCCTATTCAATGATTTCACTCAAAAGTGGGATGTTTGATATGGGCCTGTGATTGCTCATTATTGAGGTCTAATGTGATTCTAACTTGCAAAGAAATAAATCAAACTCTTATGATGGAAATAATGTCACAGATTTATAGTACTGTAATTGAAAAGATCCTTAAAAACAGATAAACGATACAATTAGACAGCTGTGGCAGTCGAACACAAATGCTAGTTTATAATCATGTAAGAGAAATGTGTGAAGTCCCTTTTTCAATATAATAAATCAAGTAAGAGAGTTAGATGAGAAGACTGGTCAAACTTATTTGAAAAACTGTGAAACTTTTCCTTAGCTTTTGTTGTATGGCCGCAATTTATGAAAGTATATTTAAATGATGAAGAAATGTTTATGTCCTTCTTTATTATCAACGCTCAAAAGCAAACGAGATGTGCATGTGTGTACCTGGTCGGGTTTGAGTCCAGTGAAGCAGAACATCCCGATCTGATCGATGACGTGCTGCCAGTTCTTGGAGGAGCCCTCCTTCTTCAGACCGGCCGCCAGCTCTTCTCTCATCCTAATGATGCGCTCAGCCATTTCTTTGACCTCACCCAGCCTGGGATGAACAAAATCAAATCAGGAAATACATATTAGGATGTATCATGAACAGAATATGAAAGAGAGAGACTTGAAGTGTTTTCTAACACACATCCAAACTACACACTCGGTTCAGATAATATGGCGTGTATATATGCATCTATAAGCACATACCAGACTGAGTAGAGATCGGGTGTGTTGAGAATGGTTGCTGCGATTCTGGCTCCGTTCATGGGTGGGTTGGAGTAAATGGGTCTGATGAGGATCTTAAGTTGAGACTCGACCCTCTTTGCCTCCTCTGCGTCTTTACACACCACAGTGAAGCCGCCCACACGCTCACCTGCGAATATCAACATGCATGTTAAGTGTTAAACAAAGCGGTTTGCAGTGAGTCTGACCAACATGTGAGAGAAATACGACAACTGTTTTAATTGGCTAATAATGATGATTTAATTCAGTAATCACGAGGAGCCGCGATAAAAGACACACACACACACACACACACACACACACACACACACACACACACACACACACACACACACACACACACACACACACACACACACACACACACACACACACACACACACACACACACACACACACACACACACACACACACACACACACACACACACACACACACACACACACAGGAAAGTCTTAATGCCTATTTAAATAAATCATGTTTCACTAACTACTTTGTACCACTGGGTGTTGGTAAACACAAGCTTGAGTTCACCTTATAACTCTATGTAGATTTTCCATTCTCCGACAGGCACTTTACAAAACTTCACAGAAGAATTTGAATTAAATTAAACTCTCTTTTCAATAGATCCTGTAGTTTGGCCAAAATGGTAACAGAACCAAACAGAAAATTACTGATGCCAATTTTAGTTCTTACATAATGATACATATCTCATTGCTGTAGTGTTATCTGTGTGTCTTTGTTGTTTTTTAAAGAGCCCATAGTGAACCCTGACTGACCGTAGAGCCCCATGTTCTTGGCGAAGGACTGGGACAGCAGGATGTTGTGGCCCTGCTCAACGAAGTAGCGCACAGCCCAGGCATCACGGTCGATGTCTCCGCTGGCGAAGCCCTGATAGGCCATGTCGAAGAACACCAGCAGGTTCCTTTTCTATAGGGTGAGAAAGAAAGAGAGAACTAATTCATAATAATGTACAGCTAGATATCACACAGTGCTTATCATCTCGGCTTTTGAACTGTCAAGACCTTCTGATTTTCAGATAACGTGTTTGCAAAGGTTTTACAGAGCTGTGCAAACAGGATGCAGACTCACCTTCACAATGTCAGAGATCTCCTTCCACTGCTCAGGCCTGGGGTCCACACCGGTGGGGTTGTGGGCACACGCGTGCAGCATGATCACACTCTGCTCTGGGATTTTCTGTGACATAATAAAACAGTTTTGGTCAATTACAACACCTCGTATAGTGGAGACTTTTTTTTCAGACTCAGCTGCCAACATTTTGCTTTCTTAAAAGAGTTAGATGTTCCCATCTTAAACCATTAAAACAATAAGGTATCCTTCAGTAATGCTATCAATGTTCCTTCCTTTTATGTTTTTGTCTTTAGCTTGTTTGGAGGTTGGTTGTCGTGTCACTGTTTTGTTTTTTTTCATTTTTGTGTCATGTCCTTTTCTATTTTCCATGTGTTTAGTTTTCTTCACTTGGGGTACCCTTGACAGCACGTTGATACATCTCAAGGACTTCATTCGGACAAATATTGATACAGAATATTATGGTTCAAACTGAAAATAGGAAAAAAAGCGTAACTTATTTTTTCCTCTGATGGCTGTTAAATGAAAAACAATTCTTCAAGAACAACAATAAAAAATAAAAAATACTCTGTGTAATACTACTGTGTTTTGAATAGACTTCCTAATTCAGAGCATATTAAAAGATGCAAACTTGAACTATTAATAAAAGTATTTTCCCTAGGGACTATGCTGTTTGTCGCCTAAGGCTTGGTTGATTACTGATTAATTTTATGTAAAATCCCCCCCCCCCCGCCCCCCCTCCTGGCTAGTCTATCATTGAAGTCTTACAGAGATGTCATCCAGAGCTCCTGTGAAGTCGAAGCCGCAGGTGGACGGGTCGTAGTATCTGTACCCCTTGAGCTGCATGCCTGCGTCTTTAAAGATGGGTGTGTGGTTTCCCCAGGAGGGTTTGGGCAGATACACATCACGTGGACCTCCGTGGAAGCGAGACTGTGAAAAAATAATATTCTGGTCAGTTATCCAGCCTCACCTTTAAGTATTAATGAACAATATAAAAGGACCTCACCAAAAAGTTGCCTCCAATGCGCAGAGATCCAGTTCCTGAGATGGTCTGGACAGTGATGTTCTGTTGGGAAAAGAGACTTGCTGCACTGATTTTGACTTTTTGAAATGAATTAAATGAATTACATTTGCCTTGGTTAGCATTTCAACTTACCCTGCCGCTTTTCAAGACCTCAGCATCATTACCAAAAGCCAGTTGGGCGCAGGACTTGGTGAACTCCCCCAAACCACCAATGCCAAGGTACTCCTTATCCATCTGTTTGGATGAGATGATCGCCTCGGCCTGGAAGGAAAGAGTCCAAATAAATATGTGCAAAAAAGAATTCCTTGACTGGTAGTCCCTTCTTTGTACATCAAAAATCCATGATTTTGTGGACATTTTGTAAAAAACATAATGCACGCAATCTTTCTCACGAAGGTAAGGCAGAAATTCTTCTGATTATTAACATGTGTGTTTCACCCAAAACACATGAGGCTTCTCAATACTCTAATTTCCCCTCCTCGACTCCTCGGTCCTCCGGTAGTGACCCGGAAATGGATCTCAGCTCGCCATGTTGAAGGACATCTCATTTCTCTAAATGCACTTCGAGGACCGAGCATCGAGGAGGCTCTCTGAAGGAGCTCTAACCGAGGATACACTGATGGGTCCTCCACGGCTCCTCCGCGGATGCATTTCAGGGAACGGTGGAGGCGTGACGCACGGCCGGACTTATCTCAGCCAATGACAGCTCTGCATGCATCCCTTGGATATATCAGTGCTTTCATCACAACGCGATGTTTACAGTGAGAACAGCTGTGAGGTCTGTGCAGAAAGCAGAGCAGTGTGTAAAATATATATCACTCTGCCTACATTACTTTCTGTATTTGTATGCTGTAGTTTAGTAGATATCTACAAACAAAGAGTCAATATTTTTCTAAGACCATTTAGTNTGGGGGGTGGACCTCACCTCCTCTAGGGGGGTCCGGGGGCATGCTCCCCCTGCAGCAGATTGATGCTTTTAACTTCAATATTTAAAAAAAAAATCTTCCCGGGGGAGCATGCCCCCGGACCCCCCTAGAGGAGGTGAGGTCCACCCCCCACTTAAATCATGCTCAAATGGATAGGATACTAAATACATTTGCACACAGCTTGTGTCCATATCTTTCTGTTTTGGTGATGCCACAACCGTGCATGCATACGCAAATCATAGTGAGTGTCTGCATTTTGGGGGGGGGCGCCAGCTAAAATCTTGCCTAGGGCGGCAAATTGGTCAGGGCTGGCCCTGCCTAAATATAAATTGTGATTTCAACAGAAATGAAAATTAGACTTTTTGCCCCATGACAAATCTGAAGCTGAAACTGGAGATCTTTTTGCTGTTGTTCATCATGAAACACTCACATCACAACATCATTACAGAGAGGCTAGACTGCTGGTTTCACTACACATCTTTGAGCTTATAGAAAACCTTATGCACAACCTGATGTTTTAAATATTATATGTAGATGGAAAGAAAGTTCAACCACTTGGTAAATGGTATACAAAATGTATTCATTTTACAATAGCTGAAATATATACTTTGTAGACTTTTCCTAACATTTGGAGCAGCAGGCTATTACATGAGGACCAAAACCAAACAGTATCTAAATAATTCAAGATTTCAAAGTTGCAAAAAATTCCACCCATCCAGCACAGTTGGGTACTTTAGTAATGAAAGTTATCAACTTAAACTTATCAATTGCTATTATTTTAGTTTCCCTGCTACTTCATGCTGGACAATGATTAACAACAATTACCAAAATAGATGCCTACAGCTTGTGTTGGGTTGGAAGAGATTGGAGAGAGCATCTTAATTAAATATCAAGAAGCCACAAACATGAAGCAAGAAAAGAGAGTGGTACCTACTGCCGGCTGTATGTGAAGAAAGAGATCAGTTGTGTTGTTCTGTCTATCCTGTCCCACACTCGGACTCAGGCTGAGTGCGTCTGAGAGTAAGCGAGCAAGCAGAGCTTCATGAGAGATAGAGACTGAACTCCATGTGGGAGGGAGATAGTGAGAGAGCAGAGAGAGATCCCTCCCATTGAAAGTAGAGAGTTGAGTGCAAACTGGGAGACCATGTGGGTGACACAGATTTAGGCATTCAGGTTTTTCTGTTGTGTGTGTGGGGGGGGACGGGGACGTAGAGAGACAGATCACACCAGTGAAGGTGTGTAAATAGGTGTATAGGTTATGTGTCACCAAAGAGTTTTCTAGGATACGCATTCATTTGTTAAAAACAGCTAAATGCAACTTTTTTTTATGAGCATTTGTACAGTCTACTTACAAAAATTATTTCTCAAACTTGTTCTTTACTGGAAAACAACTCAATTGCAAACAGAACGACAGGGTGACTGAGGTTATGACGCGATAGAAATCCTAAATCAGATTTGAACGAACAGCAATGTGAGCACATGGCAGTCGACTCAGCCTGCTGATGCACCGGGATGATTAGCTTTTCTGTGTTCACATCTGGGACAATGTGGACAAGCACGAAACAAAGTGATTTAATCAAAAAAGAAGCTTCCTGCATGTGTCACAAATGCATACATGTACATATGGCATGCACCTGCGTATCTGTGTACATTGGTGCTGTGTGTGTGTGTGTGTGTGTGTGTGTGTGTGTGCGTG